GAATTTAGAAGCTGCTAGTCATTTTAATGTTTTATGAAACATAGCAACAGCACAAACAAAAGCGGCGAATTTTATCAGGACCCTTTAATGGACGTCTACTAATAAAACCCGACCTTAAACAATTTCACAGGTCGGGGAGCGAGTCCTTCCATCACATTCCATATCCTCGATTACACATTCAATCCAATGTAAAACGCAGTAAAATTCTTATTAACGAAACAACATTACCGTTAATCGGATTCCGAAAGTCGTAAACATTTTAGGGTAAAAGGGAAAAATAAACGAAACAAACTTCCCCAATTTCGGGGAATCAACATCTAATAGGCGTAATTGGTAGCACTAGCGCTATACCCCGTGCTAAACACGTGGAGGTGCTGGGAGCGAGATAAAACTAGGAAGTACAGTCAGGTTCATAAACAAGGATCAATCGTGCGGAAATCTCACACAAATTAGGTACTTAAGTATAGCGAAATTTTAAGGAAATTTAAGTAGATTTTTTGCTTTCTGATAACATAACCGCCACCAACCGGCTATTGAGGAAATCATTGGGGGAGGCCTATATTCAGCAGTGCACGTCTTATAGTTGAAATGATGATGATGGTGAAGTGACATAATTCGCCAGTTCAAAGAAACACAATTGGTTTAAAATATTTTAAGGGCAGTTTCAGTAACTGTATCCCTTCAAGATGTCTGTATTGCAACTTAAAATCTTTTACCGGCATTGCCTGCATTACAGCTTACGTCTTGTTATCCTCAAATACAATCTCTCCTTGGCAGAGATTTAACAAGAACAAGCGAATTTGTCCCCTAGTTGAACCCCATAAGGCACAAAATAGTCTGTATTATAGCTTTTCTGAAGCGGAAATTATAAACATCTCTTATTCTCGTGGATGAGCGCTGATCTTTCTTGCATGGGTAGAAGATGTTTGTATGAAGTTTGCGTCATAAATTAAGCAAAATCTCCTTAAGGGGCTCCTTTAGATTAGCGGTTTTCGGATAAGCTTGTTTTTGCAAGCGCTCATTTTCAGAAGCATCATACGAGTGTAGGCCGTCTATGCTTTAGATGTGCTGTAGACTCTTTAGTGAAGAAACATTAATAATGTACCTACATACATTGTATTTATTATAACGCGCTGAAAAAAAACTAATTAGGAGCCTTTAGCTAGTTTAAGATTTCACGCTTCGGGCTGTAAATATGTAATCTGAAATACCTGTATTCAGTTAATCTAAAAATAGCCTCATAATATCTAAAGACTAAATATTCCCAAATGTTTTTCTTAATCGACTGTACTGCCCCAGGGCCGGATCCTAGCAAATAAAGCTTAAATAACATCGCTTATTTCTTCCCGGCGCACGTCTGTTTCTAGAAACATGAATTGGAAACCAATTCTGAAGCGAGAAATAGAGTAATGTTTATTTATTTGTTTTACTCAAATGGAATTGTGAGGCAGGAAGGAAGTACAAGACCTAAAACATGGCACAATTTTTCAGAGCCTTCTTCGGTCTTCATTATAAGAAAAACTCTATGCTACAATAATAATCCCAACTAATATTATAAATGCGAAAGTAACTCTGTCTGTCTGTCTGTTACGCTTTCCCGCTTAAACCTCGCAACAGATTTTGATGAAATTTGGCATAGAGATAGTTTGAGTCCCGGGAAAGAACATAGGATAGTTTTTATCCCGGTTTTTGAAACAGGGACGCGCGCGATAAAGTTTTTCTGTGACAGACAAAATTCCACGCGGGCGAAGCCGCGGGCGGAAAGCTAGTTTACATATAATTTACTTACACTTGTACGACCTTTCATCTCAATCAAATTCTAGGGTAGGATTACCTAAAACCTTCTGTCACAAGACAGTGGGATACAACATTTAAAAGAGAGCTGTATAAGAAATGCATATCACCGTACTACATCACTTAATAAACTAGGTAGGTGTCTCTTTATAAACAAAGGTACGGTGACTCATCAATGTGATCCATCGGAGGACAATCTATCATTGTCCTAGAACGTTATCCAATATTGTCAGAAAGAAACAATACCTACCGTCCATTATGTAGCTGAAAGAGTTGTTCCACTTGTATTTGGTACTATAAGTACTAAACAAGTGAAAATAGAATTATTGATGTCTAAATAAGCCTTTCTGTTACCCATCAATCAGTCAGACTTTGCATTGTCATCTTTGAACTTCAGTTGAACCTTTGAATTGGGCTAATTCAATTTGTACTTTTGATTATATCTACAGAGACGTACCTAATAAAAGAGGGTCCAAATAAAATAAGGTAGAAAAAGAAGAAGAGAGATCTTATATGACTTCTTCGCTACTAATGAGTACTATGCAAAGAGTAAATGGGAGATAAATTGTCATAAAACTAACGAAATATGAACAATTTTGCTAACATAAAACATTTTAATCTGTCCACAAGCTTGTAAAATGCAATTCTCTTTAAAGGAAGCGGGTAAAATTAAACGTACTTTTATTTCGCTTAAACCTAAACATACAGCGCTGACCAATTTTAAAGCATTTATTCGCGTGTCTTCAAATGAAAGCATTCCACACGTACAGAGCTTTTCATATGGTAATATTAAAATGAGCACAGCAACATTGCAGCTCGTTAAATAGGTTTTTGGCGTTAATTTACGTCCTATATAAAAAATAAAATCAGGAAATGACTACATTTTTAGGTGTATAACAGCAGGATAAAATACAATTTTGTAAGCAATGATTGATTTTCGATTATGCCTAGTTTCAGGCAGTGCGAGTTGTGATAATTTTTCTACTTGTACAAAGTATAGAGCCTAATATTACTACAGATAATAGACAGTATGTTACTCATGCCGTGTAAAAACATCATACAAATTGATACGAGTACGTGACGTATTTTGCATATAGGCTATGCTAATACTCGTTCGTATAAACCATTGAGTTATAATGTACTACGTAGTAATATTACTTCAATGGTATAAACAGGAATTTTACGACGATGGATGGAGGATGTACTTAGGGTACTCCTTTAATGAAAAACACTGATCAGATTATTAAATTATGAAATCCTCGGATTTAAAGCTGTATTAACTCATTGAATGCCGTTTAATTGACTGTCTCATGGAGTGGAAATCACCTGTTCCATCCATAATGCGATTACGGCAATTATGAAACCGCCAACTGAATGTGATGGAAGAATGAGTATCAATTTTATGGCGATTCCGCTTCTTTTGTTGAAAGGTACAACCTCAGGAATTGAATAATATTTACTCATTGAACGGCTATTGTCAAAATAAGCCGTGAGTAGTATACAACATAGTTGGTGGGCCTCATAAGGTCATCTACACCACTATACTCGTACATAATATAATTTGTTGTTGATATTTATGAGTGGTGCAAGAAACTCATAGTCAAACTGAGGTGGCTTTCCTAAACACGGTCATTGGTTCTTGTCTCTCAAGGGACAAAATTAAAATGTTCTGTAATTACGAGTTGCCCAAATCGTGTTCACAAATCAAGGTTCTTGTTTCAAGGTTCACGTGGAGTAATAAAGAAAAATTAGACAGCCATACAGTACTTATTCTGTGGCCATACTCTATCTTTAGAACAGTTAAGTTAAACAATGACGAAAATACTTATATTTCTCAAAAAATCCTTGTTATTTTCTCTTCTCTCATTAATTATTAACTGTGAGTACTTTTAATACTATCGTTCAGGGTTGATTGGTTTAATTTTTAGTCAAAGTAAAAAAAGGTATCTAACTAAAAAGCTAAATAAATCTTCTAGCATTTACATCAGATAGAAAACGTTCCACCTTCAGTTCTAAGTTGTGTATTCTTCAGGAATAACAATAAAACTGCAGTTTAGTGCACAAAGTGAATAGTTCAAGCGCGGCTGAGAACACTCAACTGAGTTACGAATTTAGTTGTCTGGCCTTTGAAAGTTAAGTCAATGTAGCTCTTCAAGAATAAGAAGTTTAACATTTAGACGATTTCGGCAGTTATCAACAAATATGTACATTATGAACGGAAAAGACGCATTAAGTTAAACGCTGCAGCGTCTTATCAAGTTATGACAGGTGCTTTTTTGTTTAAAAAAATGTACCTACTTAGTCTTAGGGTTGTATCATCATCAGGTCATATTTTAGTGTCCACTGTAAGGAGCACGACCCTCTAACTTCTCAGAGGCAAATGGAGGAGCTCAGTTTTATAGGCAGACACATATTATCTTGCTACACGGGAGGTGTAAGGGTAGGAACAAAAGGTGAAGTTCCTTTTAGACCACAACTAAGAGGTTTTTGTCCAGCAGTGGACGTCATTCGGCTGAAACGGACGAAGCAGTAACTAACGGATTCGGCGGATTCCTAAACAAAAGATGCATCGGAGGATTGGTCCCATTTAGGGTCCCTTTGCCTAATTTGATGGAAGATTTTAGGGTTAAATACCTCCCAATACGCTAAGAAACAATATCCCGAAACCCGTTAACTTGATCCGCAAACTTTGTACAAAACTTCTAGTCGTTTACCGAGTTCTTGATTTACAGCCTCGATTTGTTCATAAATTGCAAAGCGTTCGTAAGTTCGTAGCTTTCAGTTGTTTCGTAATAATGAAATGTATTAGCATACTCGTACACTTGAGAGTCCTTGTTTTTACCTTTGATGGCAAAACTTCATAATGCTGCAGCTGTTACAACTTCATTCATTCATCGTCAGTAGGCATATGGATGGAATGTTATTCAACACACAAGTCATTTAGGTGCAGTCAGTGTCTAATAGTAGTTCGTGATACGCAAAGTAGCCAAAAAGTTCTACCTAATTTAAATACTATGCAATCACCTCATTTTAATTCACCATGCACTCCACGCCGTTTATAGGTAGATACTCCACCACCATCGGTGTATTCTATTAAGAATAAGAATACTTTATTCAGCATAGAAAAATAAAATAAAAATACAGTACATATAACATTAAACTACAAGCTATGCTGAAGAGGCGTCCGCTCAGCTATATTTGCGACATAACAAGCGCCATGTCGAGAAGCTGGTTTTCAGCGGGAACCAACACGATGAAGATTGCGGATTGCGCACCCTCTTGACCGGGACCATATTGAGGCTACCAGTCAAGAAGGCGCGCAACAGGGGGCGTTATGGACGGTGATCACAAAAAAGAGAGAGAAAAAAAAACAAAACAAAAAAAGAAAACAATATTAACACAAAACTAAACAGAATCAAAAACTAAATTAACTAAAAACTAATGTATTAAGAAATGCCACACCCGAGACACTAACAGGGGGACGCCACCGTCAATACCGAATCGCATGTTCCGCTATTCGCCACGTTAAAACTATTTACTTGAACGACGGTGGCGCCCCCCCGCCGTTCCGCCCATTTTACGACTGGTTTGCGATTACAAATTGCGCCTAGCAAATCAAGTTCCAGTTCAAGTTGTAATTAAAGTAAAAATATTATATTTTTACTTTAATCACAACAATAGACCGGGAAGGTTCACAGCTGTTCCAAAAGACAAAACAAAGTAATGAAGAGAGGTAAGCTTTTATGAATGGTTGAACCTTTAGAAACAAACAACAAAATAATATAACGGTAAAAACAATAAAATAACGATACAAGATACATGTCTGTAGCAGTTTGCAGCCGAGTGCGGAGCGAACGGAAGGAAGAAAAAAAAAAAAATAGTCAATTGTCATTTTATTTTCCTTCCGCTCTCCGTTCACCCTCAACCATAATGTTAAATTTTACACGTTTTGCCACGTTAGAAAAGGTGGTGGTGATGTGGCGTAGTGGTAGTAGTCACCCCTACAACAAAGTTGGCCATGAATGCAGCAAGACCCTTGCATAGTTGCGTGTATCATCGAGCTCACATCTCGAGGGGCCGCTGCCACGACAATACAAGGCGGCATGCTGTGAGAGCAATACTGACGAGCACGATGTACATGACGCGCATAAACCCCTGGTGACTGTTGGCAATTGTGCAATTTAAAGTGTATCGATATTATGATTAAATCTATCACCAAGGACCAACTAAGGTTAACGCTGTGTTTGGTTTCAATCATAGGGCGCGCCCAGACGTCGGCCGAAGCGGGGAACATGTTAAAGCGGCCCCAGTATTCAATCAGCGCTCAGTTCGTATGCGATGGGATCGACCCGCCAACCCGATGAGAGCGTCGATGACATTCAGGTAAATGCTATACTGTTGGAAAACTATTAATTTCAACTATTAATGTCTGTTAGCCTTCTGTGACGTGATTAAGTGTTTTTTTAAGTTTTTTCTAAAAGTATCTTTTGTTGGCAGATTGCGCAAAGGGGGTGGCAGGTCGTTCCAGCACCGAGTAGCAGCGAATCTGAAAGAGCCGCGAAACGCCATGGAGCGGTGCCTTGGAGTGGCAAAAATGTGTGTGCAAGCCCTTCTGGTGCGTCCTTCCCTATTCCTAGCCCAGTCTAGCTTTTCATATAGGTACTTAGGCCTCTGCGTAGTAATGATACCAAACATCATTGTTGCGAGATGTAGTCTCCTACGAGCCGCCATTTTCATCATGTTTGCAGCGTTGAGAAATGGGGTGACATGTGCTCGGGGTGGCACCGTAAAGCAGAAACGGGCACAAGCATTCTGCGCCCTCTGCACCAGCTTGTCTGACCTAGCCATGAGACAGGGCCCGTATACAGTGTCACAATAGTTGAGCCTACTGAGGACAAGGGACTCACACAGTGCTATTCGCAGGCCCTCACTTCGGAACATGTTATTAGCGATTAATATTATGGTAACTGAACAACTGAGGTAGAATTGTGTAAAGCAATCGTAATCATTTGACAGTTAAAATCCGTACGTACGATAAAATCCGTTAAACAAAGCGTTTGACAGAATAATCGTATGTTATGAACTGTCAAATGATAACGATTACTTTACACAATTCCACCTCTGATCATGATTAAGGTATTGTCTCAAGATCTCAACAAATCTTTGGAAGTATAGAATAAAAATTACTTTTGTGAAGCCTCAATGTAACCTTGCTGGTGTTCAAATAAATAAATAAAAGTAAGTCTGAAAACGCTTTAATGTTCGTTACGTTTATGATGCTGAATTCTACTTAGCATAAAACACACCCACTTCTATTCTTATCCACCCAAGTGATCTATCCGAGTCATGCATAATACCCGACTACAAAGGCACACAATATTTTCCGCAAAATTACAATCCCAAAAACACTCCAGCGCAAGAGTAATGGTGAACCACGCCGTACATTTCAAAGTTAATCCCGGAAACCGGCGCAATTGCACACAAATTCTTATCAGTTGTTCCTGAAATGCATCCCGAGCGCCTATCCGGGATACGGCATAGGTATGACGTGGATTAGCCAAAATTCCGGATTGGAAATGACTGTGATGGAGCTAATGTGAAATGAAAATGCCTAACGTTCGACAAATGACAATCGAGCCGTTTCATGCCTGAGTGGGTTGAATCTGTTTGAATTTCAGCTTTGTTACAGGAGGTAATAGGCAAAAGTGGCAGCGATAGTTGTAAAAAATGTTTTGAAACTTAGTTTTATTAATATTTCTTAGGTTTTTTAATTTATAAAAACTTATCTTCAAACACATTTACCTACTTTTGTAAGAGCTGTCGCTCGGCTAGGAAAAGGTCCTGAGGTGGAACATGTTTCCACGTGAAAAATCAAGTTTTTACTAACTTCTTTACTATCCGACTAATTTATTTGACCGCTAACATTGTTCTTTTTACCCATGTTTCTATTATAAAACTCCGAGACCCGAGCTAATAGAAAATGTACGCACGGCTAGAACGACGACCGCTGGGTTTTTATTTTCAGTGCCTACGTAGTCCGAAGAAGATTTTCCTACAACTAAAAGGAAAAAATAAATAGAAACGGTCCATTTAAATTCGGATTGAAAGGCAATTGATCGGGACCTGAAAAGAATAAGCCATTATACAATTTGTAAGGGAAATTGTTCCAGTTTAAAGAATGTTTTGAATAGGCAACGAGGCCAAAGAAACGTAATGAATGGAAAATTGTGCCTAAATAGTAAAAGGTTTGTGTTTAAATATTGTTTAGGAAGGCCAATAAATAGAAAGATATCTTTTTTGTTACACACAAACTGACAGTCACATTATACTAAAAGAATGATAGGTAAATGAAAAAGCTGTACTTTTCCAAATAAGGAAAAAAAATTGTGACGGCTCTCCAAGATGCAATTTTAAAAGAAGAAAGGTAAGCGGGATTCCTTGGAGGGTAGTTGAACGGGAAGCATGGTCGATCTGTTTTAATGGTTTCAATTTATTATTTAATGGATATTAGTGTACAAATTTGGTGTTATTTTGTGTTCTAAAGTGCAGTGAAGTGATAAATTATAAAAAACATTGAAATACTTCGAATTGATTGAGCGCGCATCGAGTGTCGAGTGGGTTGTCGTATGAACAACCCGCTTTGGACCCGGTGGCGTCTTGAAACCTGCTTACGGGCATACTTAACTCCACTGAATCCATGAAAAATCAATAGAACTGAAACACCCACGTTCTATTGATAACTATGACAATTTTCACTCGACATTGGCAGAAATAAACTTCCCAGAGAGGTTTAGTTGCCATAAAAAAAAAAGAAAAAGAAAGGTAAGCAAACAAGAAGTACTGAAAATATTAATAATATGAAGCATAATAATATGAGAATTTGTATCATTAAAGGCATTTTTATACAAAAGAAATAGACAAAAAAGGTTTTTTAAGCGCATGTTTCAAGTGTGTTCTGTCTAGAAAATAAAAATGTATTCCAGTCGCGGAACTCCATTATTTATTACCATCTATTGGATTCCGTCCGCGTCTCGTCACTTTATAACGATATCGATGCAAAATCATAAATCGATTACATTCAACCATTCTGTTTTATTCCGATGCTTGCTTCCGAATCGAATGATTTATCATTAAGCGTTACAGAAATACGGAATTGAATTTAAAATATGGAGGAATCAACGATTTGATGCTATAAATAAGATAGGAGTTGCCCATTTATTGGGAATTTTTGCATTGATATTGAGACTTTTATTTATTTTTCAACCGGCAGACGGCTCTGTCAGAGTTTATTGTGATAAACTTTTAAACACTTGCCAAACGTTCTTTTCAAAGCATTGGTAGGGCGAAAATAAGTAACGATCCCATACCTAATTTACACAACAGGAACTAATAATTGTTCCAAATATATAGCGAAAATAGCATAATCCTTTTTATCTCAATAATAGCTACGTACTACATCAAGAATCATAGGCTTGTCATACGAGTAAGTAAAAGGTCAGTTAATCAGTTAATTCAGTTTTGTGTACGGATAAATCTAACTTGCTTACAGCTTCCTTGTGGGTCAAACGAATTAGCCAATTATTGCGGAAGTTGGGCAACATTCGTTTCCAGAAATGATACTTATGTATGTAATTCCCAATAAGTCTTCCGCGAAAACCGTATACGGTCCTAAACTCACGTCATAAAAAATAAAGTCTTCCCAAAATGCCCATCTCTGTATCGCCCATGGAATTCTAATAGAACGTTTACAAGTGCCGTTTTGTAGTTTAGTCACGATGCGATGTAGGAATCGATCGGTATTAACCCACCTTTTATTGGTAGCGATGGAGCTCCGAAATAGGATGGATGCTTTTAATTTGACACGTACTATGGGACTGTAAATTGTGAAGTGGATGAAAATTTAATTATTTTTTGTGGTTTCAAATGTTAATGTTCAAATGCTATATCGTTATAGAGAAATAGAGTCAGTAAAGCTCACTTCAACATTTCAGTCACAAGATGTCCACATGACCTGAACATAGGCCTTCCCCAATGATTATTATCAGATAGGCCGGTTAACCGTTACAAATAGCCCGTATCCAGGGCCTTCCGACCATGAAGTCCTACGCTACATGATTTCCATTCCAGAACCTCGCTGGTCCATTGGCATATTAACATTCCTTAAAGCTCACCAAAGCTCAGTTAGTTTATTGAATTACAAATTAATTTTTTGCATAATATCCTAGTGTTGTTCCTAGCTGTACAATTAGGCACCCCTTCATCATGTGAAAAGCTTTTATAGCCTCTGGTTTAGGTACGAGTATTTTATCTCTGCATTTCTATCCCGGATAGTTCAACGTCAATTCCCGTCCAGTGTAAACCCGGCTTTTAGCAATAAAGGCTTGGGAACTGCGTCAGATCATGCCTCGGCCGAACTACGCCGGTCTGTTTGGCTTATTGCAGTTTGCACAGCGGTCGGCAGGGCAATATTAAAGTTGATGGGCAACCGGCGGGAATAGTCATCGAGAGTGAAATGTACGGATACTCGTAACACCGTTTATTAAGTACTCATGGCTGAATATTTTGCAATTTGGAGTTCGTGATCGTATATCGTAATCCAGAAAAAGGATTTAGTTCCAACGGGACACAATTTCAACGGGACACATTTTCAATCAGACACATTCCCACGTGGACACAGTTGCAAACTGACACAATACAGTCAGTCGAATAAATGAAAGTGAAATGAAAAATATGAACATTAAAATAACTATATTTTATTACAATTAAAACTAAATTGAACAGAAATAAGCATCTTCGCGTACTTTCCTTAAATCAATAAAATAACCTAAATATAACATATCGTACCTAACATGCATTTTTAAGGCATTCAAGAGAACTTTATTTAATCTAAATAAATACAAAAGACGTCTAACTTAGATTCTATTCACAGGGAACTTTAAATGTAAAAAAAAAATACAGAGGATAATATTTATCAAGGTTGAATTACAACATTCATTGATTCTTCATAGCACCAAAAGCACCACACACAGTCGTAGCGTACATTTCTTTCTGGATAAGGGAATGTGTTCTGAAATATTTAATAGATTGGAATAAATTTGGCTGCACCTCGACAGATTTACAAAGGCTTTGCATATCGTACAAACGTAAAAAACACTGACGGATTTATTTGCGAGGATCGGGCTTACGTGAGATGTAAATCTGACTTTAAAAAATTCGCCAAATACACGTCCCAGTCCTAAATCCTATGAAATTATTTGTTTCACACGTAGCACACATCAATATCTGTCAGCGAACATCATAGAGATTAAAATAGAAAATAACATCGTTCATTGCTCAATATTAAATTTAAGCCAGCCCGTAATTACATACTCAAGGTCAAGTACCAATTAAGTCGAATCCCGAAATAGACCCTAATAAATATTCAAAATATTAAAGAACTGTTAGTAATTTGCAAAAGTTTTCTTAAAAAACTTTAACATAAAAGCTTTTCCAATATAATGTCAGACTACAAAAAAATTACCGCTGCTGAAAAGCACGAGGCAAAACTTAAATATGAGGTGACTAAAATTTTATGGAGAAGCTTAAGCTTTTTAACGTCAACGAAGTTACAAATAAAGCCAGACTTTTCAACAATCCAGCTCTCGACAGCTTGACGTGGGGGATTCAGAACAATACTGAGTGAAGTAACACAGTTCAACTAAATCAAACGCCAAAAATAAAAGTATCCCGTTCTAAACCTTACCATCTTGCCTCAAGAGATTATTTGAACGTAGGTTTTATCAATAAAAATGTATGAGCTCCAAATGAATGTGAACTGGAATTGACACAAGAAAGTGATATTTTATCTCAAGGGTTACAATTGAATACGGTGAGTTTATGGGTTGGTTTATGGGTCTACTGAGTTAGTATACTGCTAGTACCTAATATTACAGTAATTTGTGATATTTACTTAGAGATGACAAAATATTAAAGAGCATAAAGCTTTGAATTCGAATGAACTTATCAGATAAAACGATTTGTGGAATAGAGATTATTCCGAGAAATGGTTAGACTCATAATAAATGCTTTTTGAGATTGGTATCTTACAAAAAATATTGGCTTTTTCCAGGACCTTTTTTAACTGACAGCTTTCTCTATTGGGTATACCTAATCAAAATGTAGGCTATCCTGAATGCCACAGATTTCCATTTCAAGTTTATGTTAATGTAATGTGCCCGCAGATAAGCAGAGGCCTTTTTCGATCTGTCACTACAGACAGTTTGGACGGTTCCATACACACATTAGCAGTAAATATCCTCAAACGACCAGAGGTTTTTGGCGATCGTCCCTTTAAAGGGAATGTTTTTGCAGTCAGAACGAGGTTAGTAGATACTCGTTTAACCATCAATCTATCTTATTGATATGAGTATGTGCTCTTGAATGCAAAAGGGGAGGATAAAGTAATGGATACTTTGTAACCTAATAGTGATTTGTGATTAAATTATAATAAGCACAAAGAGACCAATTTTGTTCTTGAATGGCAAAATTGTTATTCATATCAAATAAACAGGGAGTTAGCAATATTGTGGGCAACATCAAAAATTCTTTTGTAAAACAATTGGGAGTCGAATGTTAATAAACGTTGGGAAACCTCTCAGATAGAAGAATTAAAACAAAACAACTCTAGATACCGAGTCGGAAAGGGAACCGACGGAATGTTCCGACTGGTATACTTAAATTGGTTTTCTTATGTCTTTCACAGTAAAGCTCGAATTGCTGAACAGGAAACCGAGAAGCGAAAGATTAAGCTGAAGCTAGAAAAATAGCTGGAATACTATGGCCAAAAGATATAGGTGCCAGAAGACGTTGCTTTAGATTTCACGATATACAGTTGAATTATTTATTTGACAGTATTGATAGCAGAGAAAGAAAAGGGTTGCAAGGACATACCCGAGCTTCAAGTAAGATAAAATTCCGAAGCACATTGAAGAATAGTCTCCTAGAATTCAAAGAAAATACATTTAGAAATGTCTCGTCTTAATTTGTTTTCTGAGGGGTCTTGAGTCTCAGAACTCTGAAGAGTTGATCTATTACTTTAAACTTTTAGTTTCGAATTCAAAGAAATAGCTACCATTTTAAGGTGACAGAAAATGTTGAACAATAAATGCTTGTCTAAAAGTTACAATAGTCTCAAATCAACTTAAATATCAATTGTAGATAACGACACAATTGTGTCCATTGTGCAAAGTTTCAGAGCTAATGACACTTCTTAAAACTCCTTTTAAAATTTTTAATGAATCGTAATTAGGGGACGGTAATAAATTGGACGTTATGGCGAATTTAAGTAAAATGTTAGGAGTTCAGGTGGAACTAAAAGAAGGAATTGCAGAATAAATTTTCCGTGAGGTTGGATTCACGAGTTCAGAGCGACTATCAAATCAAGTCTTCTATTGAAAATTATATTTTTTTTTTAGCAATGGGAGTGGTGTTTTTTATTGACATAATTATTAAGTTTATTCAAACAAAATTGCATAACAAAATGATACCTAGTTAAACTTGACTTCATGTTGATAATGATGATTAAGTTATGAGATAAAAATAATAAAATTTAATAAATATCTTATAAAATCTACTTCCATAATTAAGTTATTGCCAAAACTACATCCGTAGCGATAATATTATGTAACAAGGTTCCGTAAAATACGAATAGTTCACATCATTATGACAAAGCTTATTTTCCCAAAACAACAACACTAAACGATGAAGACAGTACTTTCATAGATGGGAACACAGATAAAAATGAAGATAAACATCTAACTGAGCCTAAAGCATTCGTAAACTGTAATACAAACTTAGCGGGACATACGTTCCTATCACTACCTACAATAATAACAACTAAACATCACGTACGAATAATAAATGAAGTTGTTTTGAACACCGGCTAGGGACGTGACCAATTACTTCATTCGATTACTGAATCGATTTATAAGAACTGGTTACTGAATAGATTCATCATCTGTAGCGGGAATTTTTTCAATAATGTAATGTAATGAACAATAGCTAAAGGTCAAGGTTCACTAATAAATAATTGTTAAATTTTTCTCTGAATTTAAAGGAAGCAATTTTGAAAGTGTTAATTTTATTACAGTTTACTTCTCAAAAAAAGTATTAACTGAATTTGGACTTTTCGATATTGCTCTTTATAATTTCATAAGTCTCTCTTAGGAAGTCTAAGTTAGTCACTTAATGTATGTAACTATGATTTTTCTGTTATTTGAACTAGAGTTCAGTTCAGAACTATGGTTTAACAGAACTATTGTTGTCTAAACTTATAAAAAACCCCCTATCGAGTAGTAATGCCATAAAGCGGTTTCAGCACATCACTATCAGGGTGAGAGACAAAGGGAATGGGTATAAACATCAATGATCCGACTCATTGAACATGTAAACTTGACTATAAAGGACATTGTCAGAAACCGCCTAAAAAACCGCCCAAAAACATTAACCCATCATAATTATTTTCTATTTTTTTTAATACATTAAGCACCCTTTCATTCTAATGGACACTTAAGCATTGAAAAATTAAATAAATAANCATTCTGCACCCTCTGCACCAGCTTGGCTGACCTAGCCATGAGACAGGGCCCGTATACAGTGTCACAATAGTTGAGCCTACTGAGGACAAGGGACTCACACAGTGCTATTCGCAGGCCCTCACTCAGGTATGACCTTAGCTTGTACAGGACTTTGAGGCGGTAAAAGCAGCTTCTTGCGCATTCGGTGACATGGGTTTCAAATCGCAACTGGTTTTCGAAAACAAGTCCCAGATTTCTGACTCTGTCCACTCTTTCAATCTGTATATTTAGAGACCGATCCCCGAGTTTTCCGATGTTCTGAGGGGTTCCCGTGAGTATGAGCTGGGATTTCTTAGGGTTAAGGCTGAGACCATTTGAAATGCACCAAGCAGATATTCTCTTTAGGTCATCATTTACGCTGATCACAGCTCTATCACACTTATCAGGCTCGAATGGAAGGTACATCTGTAGATCGTCCGCATACAAGTGATAGTAACAGTGTCTGATGCCGTGTATGATGTCAGCACTGTATAAGATGTATAGTATTGGCCCTAGAATGGAGCCCTGGGGGACCCCACAAGTCACCAGTTGTGGTTGTGATCGCAGGGAAATGCCATCCCCCCGCTTCAGTTCCACATACTGCTTTCTTCCAGACAAATAACTATGAAACCAATTTACAGAGCTGTTGTCGAGACCATAATAGTGCAATTTGGACAACAAGAGCGAGATGTTGATAGAATCAAAGGCACGTGAAAAGTCGAGCAATAATACAATTGTGACCATGCCCCGATCCTGAGCAGCCAGCAAGTTGTCGACTACATCGGCGAGAGCAGTTGCCGTACCATGCCCTTTACGGAATCCGGACTGGTAGTGTGGAAGAATGTCCCGTTCCTCAAGGTACTGCGTGAGTTGATCACACACTATTCTTTCCAGGATCTTTGACAGGCATGGCAGAATACTGATAGGCCGGAGTTCGTTTACTGTAGATGGCTGACTAGTTTTTGGTAGAGGTCTGACTAAGGCCACCTTCCAGCTCTCAGGAAAGGTGCTCTCAAGAATTGATTTGTTTACCATATTCGTAATCGCTTCCAAAGATTGAGGCAAAGTGAGCATTATCATGTCGAGCGATAGGCCATCGTCCCCGCGCGCGTTTGATTTAAGACCCTTGATAGTCTTTAACACCAGGTCCTCACTAACAGTCTGCAAGGAAAAGGTTGAGGCGTTAGCATGGCTATGACATTCATAATAACTCAGCTGAGATATATCCACCTTGCCCCCACCGGGCATGCTCAAAAAGTGTTTATTAATTACATCAGGGTTATTAAACGATGGTGGGAGTTCGACTGATTTCTTTTTATCTGGCAAGACAGTACTTTTGAGGTTCTTCCAAAGTTTCTTCGAGTTGTGAAGGTTATTGTTGATATTTTTGGTAAAAAAGCATGTCTTTTCACGCTCAATAGCCTCCAAAACCAAGTGTTTCATCGCCTTGTAGGCCGCCCTGTGTTCTGAGGAACCCGATTTTTTGTATTTCTTGTGGTAATCGTCTCTGATTCGGATCATATCCCTTATGGTATCAGTTATCCACGGGTGCGGAGGTCGTTTAAAATTCCGTGTTCTTATAGGGGCATGCAGGTCCATCAGACCCATGACAGAACCCGTGAACGCCACGGCATATTCGCTGACATCTTTGACGTGATTGAGACTCTTCCAGTCAATGGCGTTAAGGTCCTGATTGAATTGGTCTAGGAGTATGTCTTTAAAAGGTCTGTAAGTTACCCGCTGCGGCCTGATTTTTTCCTTCTTGATCTTGAATTCCCCCAGTAGCATGGCATGTCCACCCAGATCAGGGGAGTGCTTCACCACTACTTCAAGAGCTTTCACATCGGCGCAAATAACGTCGATGAGAGTGTCACTATGGTCAGTGTGGTGGGTAGGCTCGGTCACTAACTGGGTGAGATTGAGACTATGAATGCACTGAAGAAACTCTCTGCATCTGCTATTGCCAACGTCTAGGAGGTTTATGTTGAAATCGCCCAACAGTATCAATCCATCTGCGTTGGTGAAGGATGTGATTGTCTCTGTTAAGGCGTCAAGAAATGTCCCTACGTCAAGCCATGGAGGTCTGTAGGCTGTACCAATGATGATGTTCTGGTTAAGGAGGCGTGTAGAGATCCACATCTGTTCCACTGATGAATCCTTGTTGGGGTGAGGACACAACCTCACATTCAAGCCTCTGCGGATGTAAAAACCCACTCCCCCCCCACGTCCCCTCCTGACATGATCCGGCCTAGGAACATGTCTGAGCCGATACCCAACAAGAGTTGGGGCCCTGTCTTCTTCCCCATCTCTCAGCCAAGTCTCATTAATGGCCATTATGTCTGGGTCTAGGTCCTCCATTGCTGCTATGAACTCCTCATGTTTGGTACAAAGAGACCCTGCATTGAAAAGTCCCACTAACAAGTTCCTGTTCAACCCCAGGCCCGTGCTATAATGGGATAATAAAAACTCAGATACATGTTTATATAAATAGTGTTATTGTAAGTAATTATAGTGTGATTATTGTTGTATGTAGCGTTATTAGAGTATGAAAAATCTGTATATGATATTAATATAATTATTTGGAACAACTGAGAAAAGTCTAAATTTGTTTTTAATTTGAGGTTACCCAACACACAGAGATAAAAATTATAAATGCAGTCTATAAGCTGGCATTGCAATGTTGACAAAAATTTCAAATAGGTAAGCAGTCCGGCATTAATTAAAATTATGAATAATAAGTGATTAAAATTAACAAATATAGAAATAAGCTCAAATAAGTATTCGTTTTTACAGGATCCAAAGAGTCATGGCCTTGATTGGCCGAACACTCTTGAGAGGTCGTCGAGTGATCTCAGCGAGAAGGCTTGGGACCCATCACTCCTGCGGACGAATATACGTCCACGTCTCGTCCAGGAGTACCTCCACTGCTGCCTGCGACACTCCTCACGCGCCCGATAAAACAGCTGGCGATTGAAGCGAGTCAGGCGCTCGCTGATGTACACCCGGCCGCCACCCTCGCCCGTAGCGCCGCGACGCACGCGCGCGGCCCGCAGCAGGTCGTCGCGCAGCTGGCGGCGCGCCAGGCGCACCACCACGCGGCGCGGGCGGGCCCCGCCGGTCTCGGCCGGGGGCGCACCCACGCGCTCCGCGAACACGACGTCCCGCTCCTCCAGGGTCACCCCGAGGCGGCCGGCGAGCACGGCGACGCTGTGAAAGACGCTCTCGCCCTTCTCGTCCGGGAGGCCCCCGATCTCCAGGTCCGCGAGGAGCGCGTCCTGGTCGCGGTCGTTGAGCTCCAGCTTCAGCTCGGCGACGGTCCGCTCCAGCGCCGCGACGACTCCCGACCCGGCGCCGGTGCCCGCCTCTGTCTGCACGCGCCCCACCGCCTCCAGCCTCTTTTCGACCTCGTCCAGGCGCTCCGCGTTCGCGTGCCCGACGCCCGTGAGGCAGACCTCGATGGTGTCCATCCGCTTGTCCAGAGCGCTCGTGCGGCTCTCGCAGCGGTCTAATCTGCCGGACAGCGCCGACACCTCATCTTTAAGCGCGCCCATCTGCTCCCTCAACGCCTGGAGCTCGGAAGTGAAGACCTCTCGGAAGTGCCTGATCTCCAGTGTGAGCGCCTGGATGTCCGACACCTCGACGGTCATATTTAGCGCGGTGTCATTTTGGTCGTCGTGCCCCTGCTCCGGCAAGGTGGTGTCCAGCTGCATGGGGCTGAGATCAGAGGCGCCGCGTCGCTGCGTGATGTACTCGGGCGAAGCTCGGACCGGCGTGTTAGTATTGTCGGTCTTGGGCTGCTTGCTCTTGCACGAGACGCACCTCCAGTTAGCCCGGTGGTCCCCGGTCAGCGTATTATAGAAGCGCTGCTCCGAAACTCCAGCGCATACCAGGTCATAAGAGTCCCGGCATAGGCTGCACACTAGGAACCTCCGGTCCTCAATTTTCTTTAGACAGCCACTGCAATTCTTAATGTTCTTCTTTCCCTTGGGCGACATTTTGTACGGAAAGACNCAGCGGTCCAATCTGCCGGAGAGTGCAGACACCTCATCCTTCAGCGCGCCCATCTGCTCCCTCAACGCCTGAAGCTCGGAAGTGAAAACCTCCCTGAAGTGTCTGATCTCGAAAGCGAGCGCCTGGATATCGGACACCTCGATAGTTACATTTAGCGCGGTGTCATTGAGGCCGCCGCGCCCCTGCTCCGGCAGGGTGGTGTCGAGCTGCATGGGGCTGAGCTCAGAGGCGCCGCGCCGCTGCGTGACATGCTCAGGCGAAGCTCGGACCGGCGTGTTTGTGTTGTCCGTCTTTGGCTGACGACTCTTACATGAGACGCACTTCCAACCGGCCCGGTGGTCCCCGGTCAGCGTGTTGTAGAAGCGCTGCTCGGAAACTCCAGCGCATTCTAAATCGTAGGAGTCCCGGCACAAACTGCACACCAGGAACCTGCGGTCCTCAATCTTTTTAAAGCAGCCACTGCAGTTCTTATTGTTTTTCTTCCCTTTCGGCGACATTTTGTTGAATTAAATAGTTGTAGATAAAAACAGGACAAAAATAAAAACAAAAAAAAAAAATCCAAAAAAAAATCTTGAGTGTTGAGATTTGAACCCACAGTTCCCGCGTCAGTCAGTGCTAGCTAATCCCACGATTACCTAACCGCGCCACTGTGTCACTTACGTAGCGAGCGAAATTTGACAACTGTGTATACAGTGGCACGGACGGTCGTTGAACCGATCAGCTGTGAGTTCAATGTACCCGCCACAACACTTATGTATGATAAATGTTTGCACCGATCACTATGTATCCATTCAATGTCTCACAGTCGCAATTTCCCTGCACTTCAAGTGTTGATCCTATGCGTGACACGACCACGACACCTCGGGGAATGCACTGACACACAAACTGGGCGATAATTTGCGCTTGTTTATTTTTAAAAAGCAAAATGCAGCGGAGCTAACGTCAATGCGGCCGTCACGGATACCGCCCCCCGCGCACCCCGCGCATTTCAGGTGCCTTCGACAATGCTTGGTGGCCGATCCTGCTCTTAAAACTGAAAGTTCGTGGATGCTATAGTAATATATATTCACTACTGCACTCGTACTTTTGTAACGGTACAACTAAATTAAAACTCGGCCATCATGCTGAATCAAAGGTGCTCACGCGCGGCTGTCCCCAAGGATCGGTCCTAGGGCCCTACCTTTGGAATTTGGGTTTCGATGATTTTCTAGCATTACCATTACCCGAAGGCTGCTCGTTAACCGGGTACGCTGATGACGGTCTCCTTTTAATAGAGGCTGACACTAGATCAAAGCTTGAAAATCTAGCGGATACATGCTTGAATTTAATATCTCAATGGGGAGACAGAAATCGTTTGCAGTTTGCCCCTCACAAAACTTATCAGCTTCTATTAAAGGGTAATCTTAAAGTTTTGCCTCGCATTAAATTCAATGAAATAACTGTTAAAAAACGGGAATCTGTTTGCTATCTCGGACTAATTTTAGAGAAAAACTTTAGTTTTGTCGAGCACATTAAACAGATCGGTGAAAAAGCTAAAAAGAACTTTTATGCCTTAAGTCACATTTCAACCTCGACGTGGGGTCTAACGTTTAAAATCCTCCGAGTAATATATTCGGCCACTTATTTAAGCTCCATTTGCTATGGTGCACCAGTTTGGGCTGACAGAGCTACTATAGGAGCCGCTCGACGGAAACTACTCCAAAGTCAACGCCTTGCATTGATTTTTCTTTGCAAAGCTTACAGAACTGTGAGCACGGAGGCTCTGCCAGTCCTGGCTGGTGTACTGCCGGTCGACTTAGAGGTACAAAAGCGTGCGGCTATGTACTTCGGCTGACGACTCTTACATGAGACGCACTTCCAACTGGCCCGGTGGTCCCCGGTCAGCGTGTTGTAGAAGCGCTGCTCGGAAACTCCAGCGCATTCTAAATCGTAGGAGTCCCGGCACAAACTGCACACCAGGAACCTGCGGTCCTCAATCTTTTTAAAGCAGCCACTGCAGTTCTTATTGTTTTTCTTCCCTTTCGGCGACATTTTGTTGAATTAAATAGTGGTAGATAAAAACAGGACAAAAATAAAAACAAAAAAAAAATCCAAAAAAATCTTGAGTGTTGAGATTTGAACCCACAGTTCCTGCGTCAGTCAGTGCTAGCTAATCCCACGACCACCTAACCGCGCCGCTGTGTCACTTACGTAGCGAGCGAAATTTGACAACTGTGTATACAGTGGCACGGACGGTCGTTGAACCGATCAGCTGTGAGTTCAATGTACCCGCCACAACACTTATGATAAATGTTTGCACCGATCACTATGTATCCATTCAATGTCTCACAGTCGCAATTTCCCTGCACTTCAAGTGTTGATCCTATGCGTGACACCACCACGACACCTCGGGGAATGCATGACACACAAACTGGGCGATAATTTGCGCTTGTTTATTTTTAAAAAGCAAAATGCAGCGGAGCTAACGTCAATGCGGCCGTCACGGATACCGCCCCCCGCGCAAGTCCTCGATATCGATATCGAGTCACAACAAGTACTTTTTTGTATTGTATGCTCTAAAATGTTCGATGCCTAGTACAATGAGAAGTGGACTACCTGGTAAATATGAAAATCTCTTCGGATGCAGCGACTCGTATAATTACGGTCAAACTTCACTTAAGGTAAGTTTGTTTAACCATAAATTATAGTTTGTTGATATTTAACGAGATTTAATTGAAGAACTGAATGATCCAGATTGTACAGGGTTGCTATGTAATGTTAATTAATACTTTTAGGTTATTGATATATGATATTTAACGAGATTAAATTCAAGAACTGAATGATCTAGATTATACAGGGTTGTTATGTAATGTTAATTAATACTTATGTATTATCGACTTGTTTTTAATATTGATGAATTTACTTTAACGAGAACTGACTAGACAATTACTATGTACTTTGTATCTATCTATTAGAAACCTAACTTAGGTATAAAGTTAAGCTACGAGTAATTAACGTTACTGGCCTTGTTCAGCTGGTTCTGGATTTGGCCGCGCCTCTTCTTTCTCCCCGGCCGCCTCCTGGTCTGGTCCTCGGCTCGGGTCGGCTCCTCTCCAGGGCCGGTCTCGCGCCAGTCCAGGTCTTGTGGGTGGTCGATGGTGTCGACCTCGAGGATTTCGGTCCAGTCTGTGGCCCGGTTTGATGATCTGGGTAGTGGTCTACTCGGGTTTGTAGACACTACGTTCGCTTTCCAGGGTTTGCGTGCGTTGTTAGCTTGACAGGTTTTGCAGTTCTTGACGTACGTTGACGCATCTCTGTACATACCGGGCCAATAATATCTCTGTGATATTTTGTTTAGTGTTTTTGCTGTTCCTAGGTGGCCTGCGGTTGGTGTATCGTGGTTTTCTTTCAGAATCTGGTTTTTTTCATTGTTATTTATGCATAATTTCCAGTCTGATGATGTTTCTCTTCTTGGTCCGTATGCGTGATTTATTATTTTCCTGTATAATTTGCTGTTTGACATTTTATAGTCCTTGTTTCCGGTTTTTTGTATTTCTTGAATTTTCTTTTGGATCCAGTCTTCCTTTGTTTCTTGTTTTAAGCGTGTTACTTGTTTATTTATTACTTCTTGACTTTTAGGGTTCCGTGAATAGTCTTTTTTCTTGATTGGTTTTTCGTGTGTGAGTTTAATCTTGTGTTTTTTCTTACTTGTCGGTGTTTCGGCCATTTCGTATGTAGGTACGATGTTGACTTCTGTAGTTTTTCTTGACGTTGTTCCCACTTGTTCCTCTTGCTTGGTGCTATCTTTGGGCCATTCTATTTTGGCTCCTATTCTATTTAATATGTCCATGCCGATCAGTATACTCTTGATTTGTGGATGATATAACACTTGGTGGTTAATTGTTTTTCCTTTTATATTAATTTGCAAGTCTAGTGCTTCTTTAATTCGAGTTGTGTGCCCATCTGTCATGCTAGCTGTTATGCTTACTGTTTTCGGTTTCAGGTTTCTTTTCACGAATTTACTGTACACTTGGTCGTTGATGTATGATCTTGTGGCGCCGGTGTCTACGAGTGCTTGATGTTTTTCGCCTAGTATCAATACATCTACGAAGGNGGAATAGTCCCGTTCTAAATGTTTTTGAGTTATAATAACCCGACTTTGTTTTGTGCACATTATTTACAGAAAAGATAGAGTAAGAAGAAGATGTACATAAGAAATTAGATGGAAAATTAGGTACAATCAGCGTCGTGGCATTAGGATCATGATATTATTATCATCATTTCAGCCACAGGACGTCCAATGCTGGACATAGGCTTCCCCCAATATTTCTACATCGCCCGGTTGGTAGCGGCCTGCATCCAGCGCCTTCCTGCTACCTTTATAAGGTGGATAGTTACACTTGGAGACCTTTATAAGTCTCACTTTGTAGTATTTCACACTTTGTAGTATATTAAAATAAATTAGAATGAACTTCAATCTATATTTATCTCAGGAAATTGAATGAAATCAGAAACCTTATTTTGCAAAGCCCGCGGCATTCCGGACCTCGCGTTTCACTCTATTAAGAGGTGAAGGTTGAAAACTATACAATCATTGATAGGTACTTCTTGATATTCCTTTAAATAGAGAGGTACTTTGATATCTTCATGTAATTCGTTTTGGTTTTTATTTCACATTAAACGTCTTATATTAACTTTATGTAAGTGCATTCGCCTTATTTAATACTAGCGACTGCGTACGAATTTTGCAAAATCCCGTCTTAGTGAACACCTACGTTCTAAATGGAATCATGCAAAATTTGGGACTCCTCCTAGCACTTGTAGTTTCTGAGATTTCGTGATGAGTGAGTCAGTCAATCAGTGACCTTTCACTTTTGTAGATAAAGATAGATGCTTCGCCTCATTTCTGCTTGACCAGTGTTTAACTGCTAGAGAAGGCCTGCTGGCATTCTTTAGATACAAACTCTCTCTCATTTACTAATAAAAATAAAAAAGCATTTGTTGCCACACATTCATTTTAAATTTCGACCGGTCCGACCGAGGTGGACCGACGACATCGTAAAGGTAGCAGGGAAGCGCTGGATGCAGGCCGCTACCAATCGATCAACGTGGAAAGCATTAGGGGAGGCCTATGTTCAGCAGTGGACGTCCTATGGCTGAAATGATGATGATGATGATTCATTTTAAATTGTGTTTTCTAAGGATTATTTTTGGGCCTACAACAAACGTTAACAATCAACATTATTTTATTTCACTAATCGTTAGATAGGCCACACACAGCTTTATTGGCTCTTAGGAAAGCAAAAAAATTGTTATGGCTCTATTAATTAATTAAATTGTGATTTGATCGCTAATTTAGGTTATTTGGAATTTTTGATTGAACCTATGTAAAAACCATCTATTTTTTCCTCTTTTCCCAAGTATTTTAACAATTCCTAAACGTAAAAGGTTCATCTTGTAAACATAACACAAATATGAATGTATTATGATAAATCAATATTTAAATAATCAAGAACAAGGGATGTATTGAAAAAACACGAATATTACAGCGTCATCTGACGTATGGGAATGTACTTTGTGAATTTTTATGACTTCCTCGATTGGTATGCTAATATTTTTGTATTAGAGCCACCGATCAGGGCGCTTGAGGGTAACTGCCGGGGCCCACGCAAGTCTTTGGGGACCATTTTGGGTCCGAGGTGAATGACCATAAACAAGACGATCCATTTTGTTTGTGAGACAAAAAGATCTATAAATTGTATCAAAGAGACCTAAAACTGATATTTGGCAGTTGTGACAAGCAATAAAACAGTTTGCACGTTCTAGAGGCAACGCACTTTACGCTACGTGCATGCCTTCAAAAACAAAATTAGTTACCTAACTTACTATAAATACACGAAATTACTTGAGCTACGAGATACCCTTAAAGCCTTAAAGGTACGATCATTAAAGCAAGATTGGAGTACTAATACTATAAAATTAAATGTGAAAGTTTGTGAGGATAAGCTTACGTTTGTTACTCTTTCATCCCAAAACTAATGAACGTATTTTCATGAAACTTTCTTGAAATTAGGCTTTCAATCTCCACAATAACATCAAATGATAAAATAATCATAAGCTTTATTAATAATTAGCGGCCGCCCGCGACTACGTACGCGTGGATCCCGTTTTACCCTCTTAGGGGTTGAATTTTGCAAAACCCGGTCTTAGTTAGCACCTACGTTCTAAAAGGAACCCCCATGCAAAATTTGACTCCTAGCACTTGTAGTTTCTGAGATTTCGTGATGAGTGAGTGAGTCAGTCAGTACCCTTTGCTTTTATGATGATACTAGCGGCCGAGCGTGACTTCGTACGCGTGGATCCCGTTTTACCCCCTTAGGGGTGGAGTTTTATAAAATCCTTTCTTAGCAGATGCCTACGTCATAATAACATCTACCTGCATGCCAAATTGGTTTGGGCTGTGCGTTGATAGATCACTATGTCAGTCACCTTTGAGTTATTACAGATTTTTGTGACAATAACGGGCAAAAGCGATTTTTTTTTATCCACAACGAGGAAGCTCTTGTCCTGTATCTCACCTGATGGTAAGTGATGATCAGGCCGAAGGTGGAAGCGAGCTTCACCCGGAACCTTCAACCAAGGAGGAACTGGCTATCTCACCTTTAATTGCCGAATACAGCTTTTCAGGGGCCCTTACCATGTGCCCATGATACGGCCCTGCCCCACCGGTCCCTTAAGTCTCGTGGCGCATATCGAGTTGCCCTTTACCGCCTTGAGGGACCGACAACATCTATGATATCATTATGATAGCTTGCCAAAGACCGGTTTGGGTATGAAGTGTCCCATTTCTGCAAATAGGAATAGAGAAAGCGCTGTCAAAAGAAATTACTTGCACTACTTTTAAATATAATTTTCTTGAAATAACAAGCAATGAAATGTCCTTCGGCCGTAAGCTTTAGTGTTCCCTATTAAATGTAACATTATGGTCTAAAAGCTTAAGACTATCTAAAAAGGCATTAAATGAGCAATTCTTTTGATTGAAGAGATGATTGGTTACCAGCAGTGAGTTACACTTGTAATTTTTATATTTTAACAAAATATACCTTATTTCATTTTATTTTACATCTAGCTGTGCCCTGTAATGACGCAGTAATGACTCCATAGAGCGTCTCGTAGTGCAGGGAAAAGTTGAGGGCACCAGACCACGTGGTAGATCACCAATGAGATGGACGGACCAGATCAAGGCCGCAACTAAGTGCTCGGATAGCGAAAGTACCCGAAAAGCTGCAGTCCGCGAGGAATGGCGCCGTATTACGAGGAACATCACTCTGAATCGTGATTCAAAATGATGACCACGACCACTCTGACAAGAGTGTACCGACTGAGAAGAAGTTCCCGGTAATACCTAGTTTGAATAATATTTCCCGTTTTTGCAACATTTTTCTTTACTGCTCCGCCCCTATTGGTTGTAGGGTGGTGTTAATATAGCCCAAACTAAAGCCTTCCTCGGTAGGTAAATGGGCTATCCAACACAAAAATACTTTTTCAAATTGGACTAGTTGTTCCTGAGATTAGCGCGTTCAAGCAAACAAACAAAATCTTCAGCTTTATACTCGTAATATTCCTAGCGGCTGCCCGCGAATTCGTACGCGTGGATCCCGTTTTACCCTCTTAGGTGTGGATTTTTGTAAAATCCGTTTTTAATGAGCACCTACCCCATGCAAAATTTGAGACTCCTAGCACTTGTTTATAATTGAGTGAGTCAGTCAGTGACCTTTCGTTTTTTATAGATATCGACTAGTTAAGTACCATTGACTCAAGTATCGAATAACCGAGCCTTGTTAAATATATTTCTTAAATTCAGGGAAATAACAAAGAAATTGAATGAACCAAATATCGGGTTTCCAGTGTAAATTACTGCGACGAAAATAAATTGAATCGATTTGAAAATATAGTTCAATGATCTGGTGGGGTCGATTTTAAATTGGTATTCCATTTAAAATGTTTAAGCATGTAAACTCAGATTTCATCTATCTGAATTGAACCGATTAAGATGAAATTTGGTTAAGAGGTAAGTTTAGTTTGAGACCTAGGAACAAACAAAGAATAGTTTTTATTCCAGTTTTTGGGAAGGCGATAAGAATCCGCGGACAAAAGCTAGTACTTAAGTATACTTATAATACGAGTAGTTGGGGTGAGTTGCACCAACTAAATTTAAACGATAACTAATAACTTGAACCGGAGTTTTTCTAAGGAGTTTGACAGACTTTTGACGTTAATTGTCATAGTTAAAGTAAGATGGTGCAGTGCAACCCAAGCTTATAGAAATATAGTACAAAATATCGGTAAGCCTGTAACTAATAGAGTATTAAAATTATGACGTAGGGATAGCTTGATACAACATCCTCCCTAATATAAAAGCTAGCGGGGGTTTCCCTTTATCAAAACCTTTATTATCACCTTCCTTTGATAATATTATTAATGGCACCTACGCACTTGCTTAATTTAAAAGACATTGGTGCGAAGTTTTAGTTGGTTTAACAATTTAATTTGCTACATAAACGCTCTGACACTAAAAGAAAATTATGAAAATATATTCACGGGTAGATTTTCATTAAATATTTCCAACTAGCTTTCCGCCCGCGGCTTCGCCCGCGTGGAATTTTGTCTGTCACAGAAAAACAATATCGCGCGCGTATTTGCTCACCGTTTAGACCTACCCTGGACTATGACAAACATTTTAAAACCAAAATCAGCTCAATTGGCCCAGCCGTTCTCGAATTTTAATCAGACTAACGAACATCAATTCATTTTTATTTATATAGAAGATAGAAGATTACTAAGACTAAGTTGTACCACCAAACTTTGATCTAACTGTAACGATAACCGGTGATTTTTGTGTGGAGTTTGACAGCTTTTTGACGTTTGTTACAGTCAAATTAAGATGGTGTAACCTTTTGATGTTAGTAATGGGCACATCGTCCAAAATCGTATTCTCACTTTCTTTGGCCATATTACACGTGGAGACGTCGCTTCTGTTGAACGTCTTGTCGTGCAGGGGAAGGTTGAGGTCACA